TTTTTGGGGAAGCCCAAGGGATTAAAGTGTATTAATCCCGCTATGAGGCCCGAGGCTGCAGCGATGGGCTCCCCGGGGTGACACTCACACATCCATCACCTCCGAGATGGGTTTGGGATGGGGAATGGAGACAAAGGAGCCGCCTCATCCCGATGGATTATCCTCTCTCCTGGCTTCATCCCTGTTAATCAGCTGGGCAAACAGCGGCCGCCGGGGCAGCGCCTCCTCGTTAGCAGATTTATGAGCGCGTTTAATTGTGCTTTTATTCCACGATTAGCGGCTGTTTGCGCAGGCTTTGCCCAAACCAGTCCCAAATCACCCCAAAGTTGATTTGGAATTGGGAAAACATGGGGTTGATTCCCTGTTATCCTCGTTATTCCTCCTCATTTTCATTGCATCCTTCCTCATCCTCCTTTTTCCCACAGCTCCACAGGGCATTATCGGGATAGGGAAACTGAGGCACAGTAATGACGAGTGACAAGGGATTTGTCCGGGCAAATGAGGTGCTGGGGGGGAGGGTGTGTGTGTGTTTAAATCCTTCACATCCCCTTTATTAACATCCCCCCCGGGGCCCCCCAACCCGGTTTGCTGGAAAATGAGACTTTGGGAATATTTATGGAGGCTGGGGGGGGGACACACACATACACGGCGGGGGATAGGGGGGAAAGGGGTGGACAGGGAGGGAGAGGAGCAGCTGGGGGGTGGTAGGGAGAGGAGTGGGGCTGGGTGAAGATGGGGGTTTAATGATGTAGGGGATGGCACTAGGAGGAAATACGGGAATGTACTGGGATAATATAGGGGATTACACTGGGATGTTGGAGGGGATGTTACTGGGATGATATAGGGGAGCATACAGCGATGATGTAAGGGAACATCCTGAGATGCTGCTGGGGATTATACTGGGATGATGGAGGTGATGACACTGGGATGCTGTAGGGGAGTGTACTGCGATGGTACAGGGGAACATATTGGGATGCTATAGGGACACATACTGGGATGCTGGAGGGAATGATGGTGGGAGGCTTTAGGGGGTGACACTGGGATCCTTTAGGGATAACGCTGGGATGTTTTAAAGAATGATGCTGGAAGGCTGCAGGGAATGATACTGGGATGTTGTAGGTAGTGATGCTGAGATGCTGTAGGGGATGACACTGATATGCTATATGGGATGACATTGAAATGTTTAAGGAGAAGATAGCTGGGATCCTTTATGGGGTGATGCCAGGATGCACTAAGGGAAAATGCTGGGATGTTTTAGGGGAGCCCATTGGGATACTTTAGTGGATGACACTGGGATGCTTTAAGGAATGATGGAGGAATGCTTTAAAGGATGATGCTGGCATGCCCTAAGGAATGATGCTGGATATTTTCATGGAGCATCCAGGGGTGCTTTAGGGGATGCCGTTGGGGTACTTTAAGGAAAGATTCTGGGGTATTTTAGGGGAGCTTATGGGGACGCTTTAGGAGATGGTGCTGGGATGCTGTAGAGAAGCAAACTGGAATGCTATAGTGGATGTCATTGGGATGCCTTAGGATAGTTATGCCAGAACACTTTAGGGGATGATGCTGGGATGCATGGAAGGGTGCCGGGATGTATTAGGAATAGTGAGAGACTTCAGGGGAGGACACTGGGATGTTTTAGATGAGCCAGGATATTCAGATGGTAACAGTGGGATCTTTTAGGGCATGGTACTGGGTGGCTTTAGGGGATGGTGCTTGAATGTATTAGGCAATGACACTGGAAAGCTTTAGGGGAGCATACTGGGAGGCTATAGGGGATGATGCTGAGATGATTCAGGGGACAATGCTGAGATGCTTTAGGGGAAAATGCTGGAATGCTTCCTAAAGCATCCCCTAGGATGATGCTGGGATCCTTTGGGTGATGGCATTGGGATGCTTTAGGGGCTGGTGCTGGGATACTGTAGAGAACAATGCCAGGACTCCAAGGGCCGATGCTGGGATGTTTCAGGGCACGCACTGGCATGCTTTCAGGAATGACGCCGGGATGCTTTAGGTGAGCATCTGGAACTGCTGCAGGGGATGACCTGGGGCAGCTCGGTGTGGGCTGCCTCAGAGGACGGGTGTCAGTCTGTCCTTCCCGCACGCCTGGCAGGCGCAGGAGGCCGGTGGGCTGTGGTCTCAGCCCGCCTCATTACTTCGGGAAAGCCGGAGCCCATGTGTTCTGGAGACGAGCGACTGGGGGTATATTAACATCCCATTCCCACCTCTTTAATATAGAGTTTGCGGAGATCATTTATCAGCCGGGGCTCCCTCCAGGGCAGGGGGAATCCGGGCAGAGCTCGGCAGCTGGGGCACAGCGAGAGGCGAGGGATGCTCGTTCCCGAAGGAAGCCGATTCCCGGTTTAACAGGTAGTGGCTCATGTGCGAATCGCTAGTTTGGGACCGGCACATCATTGGGAAGAGCTCTATCAAAGCTGGGCTTAATTGGGTGGAAGGCTTGTTTGCATGGCCGCTAATGGGGGATCAGAGGGCCGGGGACCCAGCGCTGACGGCCCTACAAAGGCAAGCAATTACTTGCTTGTCTGCATTATGTATTAACCCATCTGGGGCCGGAATATTGCCTTTGAAAGGGAGACAAAGGCAGGGGCGTGATGCTCCAATTCACCCGCCTGAGTCCCTTTTGTGCGCTCCAGGGGCAGCTGGATACGGGATGCAGCCCCCGAAGATGCTGATGGGGACCAGCCCTCAGCATCCGCTCAATATCCCCCCAGACATCGCATCCAGCACCTTCCAGCCCTCACCGTGGTTTCCTGCCCGCAGCCGCATCGCGGGATAATCAGAGCTTTGGCTTTAATGAGCCACCGTCGCAGTTAATAAGTTTATACTGCTTTTTGGCCGTGGTTTTTGGCGAAGGGAAGTTAATTATGGCCAGGTCAGGAAGTTGCAGAAAACTCTCTGTATCCAACGACATTCCCGCTTGGCTTTTGGGCTAATTGTTAGTTATCTTCATTGAGTCGGAAGGTTGGCTTGAAGGAGGAGGTGGGGGGGCGGTGGAGAGTAGTGGGGAGCAGGATAAGAGGTTCACATAGCTGGACTAAGCTACTTGTCCCGGCATTTCCATGTCCCTGGGGAGCTGAGGATGACCACAACTCATTGCAGGGATGAGCCCCTCTGAGAACAGCCAAAACTCATCGCAGGGAGGCTGAGGACGGGCACAGCTCTCTACAGGAACCACTCTTGGAGGTGTTCGGTGGGTTGGGGACAGGGGGGCACCCACAGACCCCCCCCTACTCCCCTCCCCGCTGTGTCATTAGCCAGCGGTCAAATGGCCCTAATGGGGACGCGGGGCTGCATCGCAATCAGCTGCTCTGGAGGAATAATGAATCTTTCAATCCCTAATTAACCGTTAACCTCATTTGCATCCCGCCCCGTTATGGTGATTGGCGCCTGATTAGCTCCGGCCCGGGGGTCTCCACACAGCGCAGCCCGGGGGGCCCCGCCGTGGCTTGGGGACGCTGTATCCAGCCGTGGTGACGGGGCTGGCAACGGGGACATGTGCTTTTGGGGGTGCTCCAGCGGTGGGGATATCAACTGGGGACCCTGTTTTGGGGACACATTGTAAGGCTGGTGGGGGGTGCAGCCCTCTGGGGACACGGCGTGGGCCTGACATCCTTTGGGGAGGCAGCAGGGACATCCATTTGGGGGCAGACACAACGCAGGGCTGGCAGCACGGACACCCCTTAGGGGACACACCAGCAGTGGGTACATCTCCCTGAGGACACACCACAGGGCTGGCAATAGGGACATCCCTTTGGGGATGTGATGGCAGCAAGAACACCCCTTTGGGGACAGACTAGCGTTGGGCCCTTTGGGGACATGCCACAGGGGTGGCAGTGGGTACATCCCTTTGGGGACACTAGGGCGGGCATTGGGGACATCCCTTTGGGCATGTGATGGCAGCAGGGACACCCCTGTGAGGACAGATCAGCTCTGGGCCCTTTGGGGACATGCCACAAGGGTGGCAGTGGGTGCACCCCTGGTGCACCCCTTTGGGGACATCCTTTTAGGGACATGGCGGCACTGGGGACATCCTTTTGGGGGGACACACTGCAGAGCTAGCAGCGGGGATATCTCTTTGGGGACAGGCAGTCGGTGACAAAGACGCTGCCATCCCCGGTAAGGGGGGAGTTAATGTGTCCCCAGACCCTCCCCCTGCCGCCTCGAAGCCCCTAATCCCCCTAATTAGAGGGGAATAATTACGGCCCCTGATTGCTCCCGGCCTCTCTCCTGCCAGATGTGCTGCAGCCCGCTCAACACCCCCAATCCGGCCCTTTCTGCCCCCCCCTCTCCATTTGTTTAACCAACACAGCCCTAATTAAAGCGATTAATTAACCCATAGGGCTCCTCCTGTACCACCCCACTCGGATGGGGAAGCTCGTTAGTCTCGGTTTAACGAATAGTTTGTGGTGCAGTGGGGGCCCCCGTTATCTGCCCCCCGAAGTCACTGATCAAGGCCCCCCTCGCAGTTCCAGCCCGGATCTTGGGGTGCTCAACCTCAATCAAGGATGCTCAACACCAATTTGAGGGGTGCCCAGGTGCAAGGAAAAGGATGCTTAGCCCAGATTTGGGTTGGTTTAGCCCCAAAGTTTGGCATAATCAACCCCAATAAGGGGGTGCTCATCCCCAGTGGTGGGTGCTCGGAGGGTTCCAGTGTGTCTATCTCTGCCCCACACACGGAGTCCGCTTGCCCGTGGGGGCTATGGGAGCGCTGCGCAGTGGGTCCTCAAGCCCCGCCCACCGCCCAAGCTCCGCCCCACCATGGACCACACCCACCCGCGAATCCACGCCCACTCTCCGTGGCCTTTCCCTGCGACAAACCGCGCCCCCCGTGCCCTTGGCCATGGCCACGCCCCCTCCCACGTAAGCCACGCCCATCAATTGATTAGCCACGCCTATTCATTACAGCCCAGTCGTCATGCCCCGCCCCTACCCTGTATGGCCACGCCTCCTTCATCCGAGGCCACGCCTCCACACCTCCCGCCGGCGGAAGCCGCGCGTCAGTTCCGCCCGCTCGGTGCGGCACCTCCAAGATGGCGGCGCCCTGCGGCTCCTCACAGCTCCCGGCCGAGCCGCCGCTGAAGGTGCCCAAGATGGAGGTGCTGTCGCCGGGCTCTCCCAGCGCGCTGAGCGACGGCAACCCCAGTCTCTCCGACCCCTCCACTCCCAGCGGCGCCTCCCCGCTCGGCACCGGGCCGCCGGCTGGCGGGGCCGGCCGCGGCGGGGCCTCGCCCTCCGTCTCCTTCTCGCCGGGCGCTGCCGCTGCCGCCGCCGCCGCTTGCCGAGGGATGTCCTGGACGCCGGCGGAGACCAACGCGCTGATCGCCGTCTGGGGTAACGAGCGGCTGGTGGAGGCGCGGTACCAGCAGCTGGAGGGCGCCGGGACCGTGTTCGGCAGCAAGGCCCCCGGGCCCGCCATGTACGAGCGCGTCTCCCGCGCCCTGGCCGAGCTCGGATACGAGCGCACCCCGTCCCAGTGCCGGGAGCGCATCAAGGTACCGCGGCCGGGGAGGGGAGCACGGAGGGAGGGAAGGGAGGTGATGTCCCCATGTCCCGCGGCGGCTTTTAGCTCTGGGGTGGCCCCTCGTGGTCCCCGTGTGAGCCGGTTTGGGCTTCCTTTGGGAAGCTGTGGCCCCAAGGCTCAGTCCCTTCGGAATCGATGCTGAAGCATCCTGTGGTCCTGGCTGGGGCTTCGGGCCACCCTCTGGACCAGGAATGGGGACACGGTGTCTCCTGGGATCAGCCTTTTGTGCTCTCTGTGCTGGCAGCTTTCCTGAGCATCCCTGGGTGGGGAGTGCCCCATCCCTTGGGATCACCCCATCAGGGTCTCCTCACTCAGGCAGTTTTCCAGAGCATCCTGTGAGCCTGGCTGTTGGCATCCCATGGGTTTAGTCCAGCCTCTGGGCCAGGGATGGGGGCACTGTGTCCCCTGGAATCAGCTCACTGGCTCTCTGTAGTACCCAGTTGGCATCTCCTGGCCTGGAGCCATGTCCTGAGGGTTCAGCCCTTGCACTCAGCAGCATCTTTTGGACCTGGGTGCTGCATCCTTTGGGTTTCTTCCCACATGGATTGTTTGTGGCAGCATCCTTTCATCCAGAGTTGGGAAGAGGATGGTGTCCCAGCCGTTTCCATCCCCCTGGACAGCCCCTAGCAGCATCCTTTCCCCTGGGATTTTGGGGCACCACATCACCATGGTTGTCCTGAGTGTCTTGGGTTCATGAGAGGGTGGCAGCTGCCTCCAATGGGTAAAGGGGACTCCCACTTACCCCAGTAATGAGGGCTGGTTTGGACTCTGATTGCCCTCTTGTTCTTGTAGCTCCTTCCTTAGCTTTGGAATTCCATTACAGAATACAGCATCTTGCACTGGCCCACACCAGGATGTGCTATGGGCTCTGAAACCTCTTTAATAATGAAACCTGTCCTCCAGCAGCCCCAGGGATGCGTGTCCTGTGGAGACAGGTTTTAAAGAGGGGTCATTCCAGTTGCATCATTCCCCGGGGAAGAGGGAAAGGCTGGGTTTGGTGTCCGGCTTGGGAGCATCCCATTCCTACAAAGAGGAGCTGTTTGGCAGAACCCTTGTGGGAATCGGTGTGGGGTCTCATTGAGTAGATTGGGCTGGAATGAAGCTTGGAAGGGTGGATTCAACATTCCCAGCTCCCTCCAGCTTTACAAGTTCTGGTCTCTCAGTGTGTTTTCCTCTTGTCATCCTGTTGATTCCAAGTATTTGCTGCTCAGGGATTTATTTCCCTTGAGCACATCCAAAGAGTTTTTGGGCTGCAGCCTGAAGCCTCTTTGAGTCCCTTGTTTTCTCAGCAGCTTTCAAGGTGCTCGTTGCTTAAACTGGTTCTTCTGCAGAGCTTTGGGCTTTGCCAGAGGCTGATGCCTGATGGAAACGTTACTTGAGGTGGTTTGGTTTTGGCAACAGGACCCTGATGGGTTTGGGTTGTGGTAGGAGCTTATGCAGCAACTGTAGAGGACCCCTACCCCAATTCTGGCCACAGGCTCTGCAGCTATTGATGCTTCAGGTGATGCTGAGCAGGCTGGGAGAAGTCTCACATTAAATGAGCCCAGAATTGGCTGTTTGGCTTTGGATGATGCTTTTGGATGAAGCTGGTTGCAAGTTGTAGCTGCTTTGGGTCCAGAGCAAGAGTTTCGTTGACTGCTGGAAGATGCTATGCTCTTGGTGGTTTGTGAGCTTCTCACAGAGGAGGATTCTCCCCCTTTCCCTTAAGGAGTGATGCTTGACCACATCTTTGCCCATAAAAAGGTTACACTTGGAAGAAACCACACATCAGGCACCAACCAACCAGCCTGGAGGCAATAACAGAGCACAGGGCTTGTCTTTATCACCTCCAAGAGCAGCTCTTGACAGACCGGGTAGGTGTTTCTATATCAACACACTATATGTTGGCATGGATCTTCAGTGCTATAGTGTCCTGCTGGAAGGGAGTTGTCCTCTTGCCACCCATGCACTGTCCTGTGCCTGTAGTCATTCACAGGTTGACTTTGCTGGGTGAAGAACAGCTGCTGGATGTCAGTTGTGTCCAGCACCCTGTGCCCATTGTGCTGTTACATGTCCCAGATCCCCAGCATGAGGATGTCCATCAGTGCAATCATTCGGAGGCACAAAAAAGAAAAGGCTTTTCCAAAGGCTTGGGGTTTGCAGTAGGTTTGAAATAAGCACTCGTGGAGAGCTGGGGGTTCTCACAAGAACCAAGAGTTGACCTTGTTATAGGGATTATTGAGATAGTTGTGGTAGCTGCTGCCATCCCTAAAATCCCAGGTTTTGTGGGATTCCAGGCAGAATCAGCTGTTTGACTCTTGATGCTCAACCAAGAATGAAAATCACTTCTAGATGTGAGGGCTCAATGCCTGGATCATCTTGGAGACAGAGGAGGGTGACTTGAACGTGCTGTTGGCACTTCATAGTCCTTCACTGTCGGCTCTCTGAGCTGAAAACGGAGCTGGGGAGGTGGTGAGGAAGGAGCACATGACTGCATCATTCCATGTGTTGTCCATCATATCCCATATTTCCCTCAATGGCCTGTAGTGTGAGGATTTGCTGATGTATTAGAGAAGTAAATCATGCTTAAAACCATATCGGATTCCACTTATTTTGTCTTCAGGGCCCCTGCCTTCCCTGGAATCTGCCAAGTCTTGAGGAGCGAGTTTAAAATGACCTGGAAGGGGAAAAGTCAGCTCCGAAGGAGAAAGTTTTCCACTTGCATGGCATAGCTGCATTCCCTCCTAATTTGAACAGGATGCAAAGGAAGGTCCCAGATTTTCCTCTTGTCTCTCAACATCTGCATGTGCTTTGCTGCAGTGCTGGCCTGCAAGCTGGGAACAAGACCCTGCTTGGGTTTGAGCCACTCTGGAAGTGTCTGTTTTAAATTTAGGGATTCACACATAACCATTCCAGCAGCTTTTCCTGGTTTCTTCCCTCAGAAAGGAGCCTTGAATCTGGTTCTGTGGCTCCGAGGACAGTGATTGGTGAGTTCAGTAGCTGGGAGCTGAGGATTGGAACATCTCACTTCTTGCCCGGTGGCTTCCCAGAAAAGCTGTCCTGTGCTCTGTGGCTTCCTTATCTGGGTGCATCAAGTTGTATCCTTAATTCTTGCTTGTTTAGTAATATATCCCAAGTCATTTACTAGAGCACACATGCTTCTCATCCAGCCCTCCTCCTCTTTCCTAAGTGTCTTCATGGCAAAGCCTGGTTGGTGCATCCAGAAACTCATTCCCTCTCTGCAGCAGTGCATAGGAAGCCTTTAAGTTTTAATTTTCCTGGTGTTTCAAGGCAGGGAATGGAATATTTGGCCAAACCCTTTCCAGACTCATGTGCTGGTTCCATGCCCTTCACAGCTGGGCAGCAGGAGGTGAACTCTTGTGCTGCTCTTATCTACAGGAAAACAAGTTGTGGCCTCATGCTGTGATGTTGCCATCCTGAAATCCCAAAGCCAACGTATCCAGTGTGTATTCCTTGATCTTTTACACTGGGACATCATCACTTCTTCCCTTTTCATGCGTGGCTGTGGTGGATGCTCAGGGGCAGTGTGGGTGAGCTTTTACTGTTGCCACTGACTGTCCAGAGCTGTGTGAATCGGGAGGAATTTTCGGGCAGAAAAGTCTTGGTTTAGTTTAAAGGAGTGATGGAATTATTCCTTTAGTATAAAGGAATAATGTGCTGCAGTTGTTTGGGGGTTTTGGGTCTCGCTGCCCACCACAGACCCACTCCCTTGGAGCTGGATTCCTCCTCCTCACCCTTCATGGGAACTTGGGGGTTCTGCTGGGTTGGGGTTGCCTGCTGAGTGTGTAATTCCTGTTTTAGAAGAAAAAGAAATCCCTTGAGGATGCTGGTTAAGCACTCTTGAAGTGCAAAGGGGAGAAGGGAATGCCAGGAACCCACATGAAAGGGGAAGGAATGTCAGCCCTTGGTGTGTTGCTGCTTCCAATGATGGGTTTCTTTGTGATGGGGCTGTAGTTTTAGCAGCTTTGTGATGTAAATAATCTCTTCTTAAACTTGATGTTGCTGTCATCTGGTTTGACCTTCTCTGTGATGAGGCAGGTTGGATTTCACCCTGAATTTCATCATTGGGTCCAATAACGTGGAGCAGAGCATAGAATCATAGAATCCCAGGCTGGTTTGGGTTAGAAAGGACCTGAAAGCTCATCCAGCTCTAAACCCCTGCCATGGGCAGGGACACCTTCCACTAGAGGAGGTTGCTCCAAGCCTCTGTGTCCAACCTGGCCTTGAACACTGCCAGGGATGGGGCAGCCACAGCTTCTCTGGGCACCCTGTGCCAGTGCCTCAGCACCCTCACAGGGAAGAACTTCTGCCTAAGATCCAACCTAATTCTCCCCTGTTTCAGTTTGAACCCATCAGCCCTTGTCCTATCAGTGCCTTCCTTGATGAAGAGTCCATCTCCATCATCCTTGTAGCCCCCTTCAGACACTGGCAGCTGCTATGAGGTCTCCATGCAGCTTCTCCAGGCTGAGCCGCCCCAGTGTTCTCAGCCTGTCTCCATACAGGAGGGTGCTGCAGCCCCTGATCATCCTCATGGCCTCCTCTGGACTTGCTTCAGCAGCTCCATATTCTTCTTACGTTGGGAAGCAGCTGCCTTTCAATTTGAAGAGGTCAAATGCTGGGCCACTGGTACATTCCATAGCAACCAGCCAACTGCCCACTTTAGATCAGCTTTGCTTTCTATTCCTTTTAAATGAGTTATATTTTTGTCTTGCATTTACTATATGAGGCTCACAGCCTTCCTCAAGGTCCTTTCCTCAGGCTTTTCTGACCACTGTTTCTGGTTGGTCCTGCTGCAGTTCCTGCAGAGTGATCAGTTCTCCCGTGGCTTCACTTGGAGAGGAGACGAGGGCTCTTAAGTGAGAAAACCCACACTGAGCTTTTTGACTGTCCTCTCCTTTGGGTTTCATAATAGAAATTAAGTGGGGCTAATCTGTCTTCGTATTGCAGGCAGTGTGGCAGAGCAGTAAGCAAAAGCCTCGGTCTCTTCCAGTCTGAACAGTCACTGGGCAGTTATCAGGTCTGTTTTCCATTACTTCTCCTAAATTTACTGGTTTCTTGTCTATCTGTACCAATATATGATTGTGCACTTCAGGAACCACAGAGCAGGAGGTGAGCTGGACACCAGGAGGAATAGAGGAGGTGTGTAACTGAAACCTGGATCTTAAATCTTGGTGATCAGAATAAGCTGTTGGGAGAAAGATGTCTGACTCATTGAGCGCTAGAAAGTGTCCCAAGGGTGGTTTCCTGAGGTACAGGCAGTTATTTAGGTCTTATCAGGGTCTCTGAAGAAAATACTGGGAAGTGGAGGTAGCTGCAGAGGGATCTGGTCCACCTCACCCCTGTGGTGCATCAATGAAACGGGCTGACCCATGTGATTTTAGGTGAACATCACTTAGATGTTCATCAGCAGGGTAAAACCGACTTGCTGCTTCAGCAGTTTTGCTTCTGCTCCCAGGGCTCTGAATATCACCAAGAAGTTGGTTAGGAATGTCTTTCTTTGCTGCTGATGCTGTTAAACCAGTGTATGAGGAGCATTAGGTAGGTTTGAGCTTTCTGGAGATGTAAAGATTCCTTTGTGGGGGGAAAACCCAAGTGGTTTTTGCAGTGACATGTGCTTGATAGTCCATTACAGTGTTCTTCCACAACACAAGCAGACAGGAGTAGCTCTTCCCAAGTTAATGTCTCTCTTCAACTCCAGAGGTGGTTTGCCGTTCAAGCTAGAACCTGAGCAATCTGCTGTCATGGAATCATAGACTGGTTTGGGTGGGAAGGGACCTTAAAGCTCATCCAGTTCCAACTGCCTGCCACAGGCAGGGACACCTTCCACTGAGCGGGTTGCTCCAAGCCCCAAATTCTGTGTTAAAAAATAGGTTTTCTAGCACTCCACCAATCCAAAGACCATCACGATCCAGCAGACCTGGCACACATCATGACCTTTCAAACGTACAGCGGTGGCAGAATCAAAACTGCAATCAATGCCCATTAAGATGATTTTATCTTCTTTTAATCCCCAAATAGTTGTGTGTTGCTCTGGATTAAGGGGTAAATGTGGTAGAGTTCTACAGCTTTGCCTTGCTGGCACTCAAACACCAGTCCAGCCATTGTAATGCTGAAGGGAACACCAAAAGTAGATGATTTTGCATCAGTCCATGTGGGAGGTTTTGGCCTCAGTGCTGGTTTTAAAGTCTTCTTAGAGCCACGTTAGCATTGTTTCATGCTTAATGCTTGCTATCAAAGTCTGGCCATGTGAAGCATTATTGATTTGACCTCTTTTAAATTTCAGCAGCTTCACAAGAGGCAGAGTGAGTTAGTAAGGAATGCAGAATATGTAAGTAATAAACATTTTCCTAGCTGAATAGCTTAGGCATATACATTTCGTACCTTGTGTCTTCTTACCAGAGTGAGGAAGGTTGGACCATCTTTGCTTTGGGGGACTCTTCTTTCTCTTGCCCTTCCTCTCTTCTCCCTGCTGCACCTTCTCCATGCTGGGGGCACGACACCAGCTCTGCTTTCTCCTCCTCATAGTAGGTGTGTGTTTTCCTGGCTGGTTGGTGTCTCTGACTGGGGGTCTCTTGGTATTTGTAGTGTTTTCCCTACGTTTCACGGCAGATCTGGGAATTCTTTTCTTTGTTTTTGAAGCGGGGAAGAAGTTAAATCACTTGAGTTAAATCTGATGAGCCTGTAGCTGCTATGCAACTTTGTCCTGTGTCATAGATATTAATGCTAAATCGCTGCAGTGGGAATGTCGAATACATGCGATGGGTGTAGATTAATTTGGGAGCATTGCATTTAGGGCAAATACTGATCAGCAGCAGTAATAGAAATCCCCCAAACCAACCCAAATCTCTGCCTATAGCAGCTGTTTAGCTGTCTGTAAGTGTGCTTTCCCAGCCCACTGCTGCGTGATTAACCTGCCCTCTTCCGTCTTAGACCCTGCGTAGGTGCTACAGCCGCGTGAAGGAGCACGGCGTCGGGAAGAGGAAAAGCAGCTACACGTTTGAACAGCTGGAGCAGGTCTTTGGGCAAGGAGGATGGGATTCCCAGCCCTGCCAGCCTGTCCTCATCAACAGCAGCGGCTTGTACCAGGAGCTGGAGTCAGACAGCAGCACGATGGAGGAGTTTTCACAGGAGGATTGGGGAAACCACAGTCAGGATCTTCATTGTTACCAGACTGGTGAACAGGAATTGGGTAAGAAATCCCATCCTGGTGCATCTCCGTCCTCTAGGTTTTACTTGTGCTCTGTGCTCATGCTGATCTCTCACTTACCTGTCTCAATACCAGCTTCCATGTTTTGGGCATCACCCACTGAACATGCAAAACACACGATGTCCTTGGGGAGAAAAGGGAAAGAAATTGCCCAGTTAAAAGCAAACCGTGGTTCCTGAAGTATTTTATGACTGGGATTTGAGTTTAAAGAGTCTAGCAGAGGGAAAGGAGGGCTGTGTGGCCAGAAATGGTGCAGGAGGAGACACATTCCCTCTCTCCTTCCCCTGCTTGGTTTTGCTCCCCCTCGTGGGATATAGGGAGATATTTTCCCTTTCATTGATACCCAGCTGAAACTGTTACCTTCAAACACTCTTCACTTACATTAAGAACAGGACTTCAACTGCTTATAAAAACATGTTGCTCCTTCTTCTTACATACCCTAACTAAGGTGTATGTGATGTTTTAAACATGTAAATTGCCTATATCCACATGTAAGGCCATTTTTTTTTTTTTTACATTAAAAAGGAAGCAGGCAAACTCAAACTGCAGGATTTGAACCCCTCCACATGCTTTCCTTGCCTGAATTCTTGCTGTTTCTGCATAAGAATCAATATATTGATGAATCTGGGGATTTGCTCGTTGCTTGTTGTTTACTGAACATGGTTAAACGGAGTGAGGTGCCACGTTGTTGATACAAACCATACTGATCCGAGCAGTTTGAAGAAGTGGCTTTCTTTAAGTCTGTTTCTATCCCTTGACCCACTGATCTTATGGGACTGTTTTAACAGGAGTTATTTTCATGGCAGAAACTTTAACTCAGTAAATTCAGTGGGGATCCAAGCGAAGCAGCAGTTAGAAGATGAGTTGGATAAAAACTGATGGTGCCATGAATTGCTTGGCTTCTTCTCCTGGTGATTTGTAGGATGAAAGAGGGAGAGGAGATGCAGTCGCATATCCGGACCCATCCATGGTCAGGGTAGTGATGGATTGGGAAGCTTTGAAGGAATGTTCAGAGCAGTTGTGAGAAAAGCACATAGCACACAACATCTAAATGGAATACAGATGCATTTGGGAAGCAGAACAGCCTTTTTCTTTTTTCCCCCTCCTTTTTAACAATGGAGTTTGCAATTCTGTTGATTTAATAGTAGGAATTGTAATCTTGTCCTTGAGAGGTTTTGCACTTGTGGAGATAGATTCAGATCTTAATTGGCCACATCCATTCCAAAGGAAATAAAAGATCCCATTCATTTGGAGGATTTAGGAGCTGGAGTTCTCTCATGCAGAGCTCTAGTGGACTGCCGGGCTCGGGAAGCAACTCTGGATTTATTTAGTACTTATTATTTCATTTCAACCTCCTTTCTTTAGAAAAGCTTTAGGAATACGATCTAAAATGTAATTATCTGTTGGAATTTTACCTTTCAGATGAAATCCCTACCACCAAAAGAACATTAAAGATAAAGCAGGAATCTTCTGAAGACGCACAGTAAGTAACTTCTGAATGTTTTACCCTGGAATGTGTTTCCGTGGGGATGTTATGCAGGAGGGGAGGAGAATGGAACCTTCTGATTATAATTATAAATCCATTGTGCAAGACTGTTCATACAGTCAAAGCTGCTTGCTGCATGATGCCAGTTACCTCAGAACATCTGAAAAGCTTCACAGCTCTTCTTTCTTCTTGGCTTGGTCACTCAGAGGCTGAATCAAGACTTACTACATGAATGCAAAGGGCTTCAAATGGGCATTAAATCCATGTCAGGTTCATTAGAGATGTGTGTAGGCAGGCTTATTGCATGATACAAGGCTTCATTCTCAGATCAATTTGTAATCTTGGTGTTTGGGGTTTGTTCTTTTTCCCATTTTCCTTAAGTTTGCCCCTTTGGACATAGCACAAAATAAAGGAAGAGAGAGAACAGGGACACAGCACCCCTGCAGTTGTGTGCTGATGGCTTGGTGTGAGTAATGCTTGCGAGAAGAGTTTCTGCTTTCCCTCAGTTGGAAGGCATGCCAAAACTTGGGGTTTATATATATACTTTTAATTTATTTTTATAACTTTCCAGAGCTGACTTTTAACCTTGTTGGATCAGTTTAATCTGGAGCATTTGGAATGCTTGGAGCATGCGAATCTCCCTCGCCTCGCCAACAATAACGCAGAGCCTCTCAAAAATGAAAGGAATTGGGCTGTATTTACTCAGACTGTACTTTCTTCTGACCTTCAGGATTGTAAAACCCCCGAGGTGGTGGTAGATATATCTGCAACCATCACAGATTGCCTTGCAGACCCTCCTGGGTGGGCTCTGAGGTCCCCATGAGTAGTTTGTAGTGTCATCTGAAATCAGTGTGGTGTTTCCTGTGCTGGAAGATGAGCTTCTGTAGGATGGGACGTCATCAGCACTGGGTGCGTTAACACCATGTCCCTGAGTGGTAAGAGAACAGAGGCTTTTTGTTGTAATTAAATGAAAAAAATCCTCTAAAACCTAAAAAAGTTAAAATAATAACAGAAAAGAAGCTTTCACTGCAGTGGCCTCCAACCTCCTCACGTCAGATGGGTTTTCACAGTACTCAAAGGTGACTTCTTTAGCTCAACATGGAGCAAATTCAGTTGAGCAACTCGGAGACCTGGAGAAAAGTAACTTTTTCCATCCTAAACGTTATTATTGCCTCTTTCAGCCATTCCTTGGGATTACTCCGGGGTAATTTTGCCTTTCAAGGTGTGCTTTAGGGAGCTGCAGAGGCAATAATCCTGAATTTTCGGAGGTGGAAGCTCAGGTGTGTGAACCTTCTCCTTCAGGGACTGATGTGGAGGTGCTGGCTGGATCAGGTTTGGTAGATGAGGCCTTTCAGAGTTCTCTGATCATTTCCCACTCCAAGTTCCCTCTAAAATGCACAGGAATGTCTGAACTCCTGGGCATCTCATGCAGCTGGCAGGTGATAAGCCCATCGCTTGTGCTCACTGGAAGCACAGAGCATCTTCCAACACAGATTTACTCAAAACTTGTTTTCCCCCTTCTGTGAGGCCAAGGAACTTTTCAACCCTGATTCAGTAGATTGAAGGCAGTCAGGGGCACCAGGGCTGATAGGAAGATAAGCAGGATATTTATTTGTTATCTTGAGCATCAGCTCTTAAAAGCCACAAGAGATAAACAGATCTCAGAGTTCTTCACCTCTTTGGTTGGTGGTTTAAAATACATGAAACTGATTTCAAAGGAAGTGGAATTTCATCTGCACTCTTGGTCAAGGGCAGGTTTTCAGTGGAGGGAATGGAGGTGAGTTCAGGTTCCCTGCTGAGCCTTTCTGACATGGTGGTGCTGAACCTCAAGCATGTATTTTACCAGAATCAGGGATTCATAGAGTTAACCAGGTTGGAAAAGACTTTTAAGCTCATCGAGTCCGACCATTGCCGCAGAACTGCCAAGGCCACCACTGACCCATGGCACTGAAGACCTTGTCTACACTGTATGTGAACACTTGCAGGGACGGTCCCTCCAGCCCTGCCCTGGGCAGCCTGTTCCAATGCCTGAGCACCCTCTGGGGAAGGAGTTGTTCCTCGGCTCCATCTAAACCTGCCCTGGGGCAGCTTGAGGCCATTTCCTCTTGTCCCATCCCTTGTTCCTTGGGAGAAGAGCCCAGCCCCTCCTGGCTCCATCCACCTGTCAGGCAGTTGTAGATCTTGGCTTTGCTTCCTTCTTTCCCTTCCGCTGGGTGTTTGGAAGGGGTTTGGAAGCTTTTGGAGCTAAGCAGCCTGCAGGAATCCACAGCTGCTCATGTGCACCAGGTTCTTTTCCTAGCAGAGAGGATGGGAGAGCATCACCAAGGTATTTGCTGTGGGAAACACATCACTGAGCACTGTGGATGCTGGAATTTATCCTGGTTCTTCTTTTCCCGATCAAACACACACGTGTGATGCTGCTGTTGCTGTCAACTGACCCCAGACCTGCAGAAGCAGAGGGAGCTCCCTTTCCCCCTGGGGTTCAGCTGCTCCGCCCCAGCTTGGTGAGCACCAGGACCTGATCCTGCACCTACAAACCTAACGCAGTCGATCTCCAAGGACAGCACTGCTTCTCTTAGCTTCAGGTAGTAAATAACTGGCCTCCAGACTTATAAAACTTCCCATATTTCCTGGGTTCCCTGATTTTCAGCAGTGTAGGAAGCAAATAGCAATAGGAAAGCTGTGTCCAGGTCCCGTGCTCCATCAGCTGGGTGTTCATTCCCCACAGCAGCTCTGTTGTTGCCTCTTCTTGGCATGCTGCTGCCTCCAAATAAGCTGCAAAGTGAAATGCTGCTTCCAGCTCTGTTCTGCTATTTCAGATTGATTTGAAGAGGTTTTTTATTCACTGTGGGCTTTGTGAAGATGAACTAGAAGCATGGGGAGCTGGATCCTTCACTGAAACCAGCTGTTCCAGCTGCTTTGATGTCTGCTTTTGTTTGGAAACAGCCTTTAGAACAAATTTACACCATGTCTTGTCTCTGGTGTCTTCCTTTCCGCATTTGAATTCCAAATGCTTCTGAGGAGAAAGCCATGCAGATGGCCAGTGGCCAGCAAGGGAGGTCGACGGTTGATGATGGAAATCCAGCTCCAGGGCAGTTTCCTACTGAAAAATGAGTAATGGCAAGGATTTGACTGTTAATGCTTCCAGTACCTCTGCTTGGCCACAGCGTGGAGGTAGATCTTCTGCTCAGCAGGGCAGCCACCAAGTGGAGTCCTGATGTGAGTGGGAAGAGGAGACTCCAAACCCAAAAAGCAGAGTGTTTTCAAATGTCTTTACCCTATTCCTCTGTACTCCAAGTGATGATTCCCTCTGTGGAAAGCCCTTTCCTCCTGCACCGTGCTGCTGGAGATCACCTCTAGTGAAATCCTTCCTCTTCTCAGCACTTGGATGAGTGACTAATCGTTTTTATTCCCCCAGCAGCTCTATTTTGTGCTGAGCTAAACTTAGCCAGGGTATTTCTGGTGTCATTAATAAAGGTGGGAGCTTTTCTTTTGGGTTTTTAGCTCCGTTCCTCCGCTGTTGACTGAAAATCTACCCACGCTGCTTTCTCCTGTCACTGGCTTTGGATGGGACTGCTTGCTTTCAATTCAGTTCAGCTGTCTGTCTTGAGTCAGATGAGTGTAGAATGGCAGCAAAACACACACCATGTGCTACCTGTTCCCTTCTCTGCCTTGTCCCCTTGTCTGTCTTCTCCTCAGAAGGTGAACTTGTGCTTGCAAAGGCAGAAATCTACAGCTGCTGATGTGCACCTGGTTCTTTTCCTAGCAGAGAGGATGGGAGAGCATCACCAAGGTATTTGCTGTAGGAAACACATCACTGAGTGCTCTGGGTGCTGGAATTTATCTTGGCTCTTCTTTTACTGATCACACACACGTGTGATGCTGCTGTTGCTGTCAACTGACCCCAAACCTGCAGAACCAGAGAAGCTGTGGCTGCTCCATCCCTGGCAGTGTTCAAGGCCTGGTTGGATGGGACTTAGAGCACCCTGCTCTAGTGGAAGGTGTCCCTGCCCATGGCAGGGGGTTGGAGCTGGATGAGTTTTAAGGTCCCTTCCAACCCAAACCAGGCTGGGATTTTAGGAAGGATCCTGAAGTCTTCATTCCGAAGTTGAATTGTCTCTTCCAAGCCAACTTAGACCAGGTTGTCCCAATCCCAGTCCATCATGGCCGTGAAAAAAGTGATTAACATTCCCAAAGGTTGGTGCATTGGCCGGGATGGTTTTGCTGCTCCGGTTTACTGATGCCTTTCTCCTTCTCTCCATGTTTTGTAATTCCCAGGAAGCGCGACGTCATGCAGAACATTATGCAAATCTTGGAGTCGGTCCAGTTGAAGTGGGAGCTGTTTCAGAGCTGGACGGACTTCTCCAGGCTCCACCTTTCCAACAAACTGGCCATTTTTGGCATCGGGTACAACACCCGCTGGAAGGAGGACATCCGCTACCACTATGCGGAGATCAGCTCCCAGGTGCCCCTTGGGAAGCGGCTCCGGGAATACTTCAACTCGGAAAAACCGGAGGGTCGAGTGATCATGACCAGAGTGCAGAAAATGAACTGGAAAAACGTCTATTACAAGTTCCTGGAGATCACCATCAGCGAAGCCAGGTGCCTGGAGCTCCACATGGAGATCGACTGGATCCCCATCGCTCACTCCAAACCCACCGGAGGGAACGTCGTCCAGTATTTATTACCGGGAGGAATTCCCAAAAGCCCTGGATTGTATGCTATTGGATATGAAGAGTGCCATGAGAAACCTCCCTCCTCTCCCACCGAGCACAGGGCACCTGATCCCGGCACTGAGACTCAAGGTGAGCTGGAGGTTCCTTCTCCACAAGCCTCGCTCCGGGTGGACATGGAATCCGCCCGGATTATCTACTGTTATCTCGGCATCGCCGAGGTCCGGACTCTCCAGCAGTGCCTGTTTTTACACTTCCAGGCAAACACCAAAACCTTCAGCAAAGATTGGGTCGGGATCAACGCCTTTTTATCTCAGAACTGCCTCGTTGAGCCCGGCGTCTCCCCCAAATCCATCTACATCAAATTTGTGGAAGTGGAGAGGGATTTTCTTTCCGCCGGCTCGTTGGTAGAGTGCCTGGAAAAAGCCATCGGATATCCCTTAAAATTTAACAACTGACTCTCATCCTTCATAAGGATTCGGGCTTTCTGCCCCTGTTTTCCATCCCACTACCAGACGCTTCCAGCTCCCGGGCAAATCGGGACTTTTCCGCCTGGAAACGAGTTTTGGGATGACCAGAGGCTTGCAGGAGGGAGGGTGCTTCCCATCAGCTCCCCCCCAGCAAGCAAGCGTATCCCGGCTCTCCGGATGCTTTTCCTCCCGGAGGAGAAGCCCCCGGCCTGTGAAATGACTGTAGGTACATTCCACATGGGACAAGCACGTAGACGTGGCGTTTTCATATGGAAAACTGAGTTTTGGGGGGGTTCTTTATTCCACGTGTCCCATTTTTACGCATCCGTCTCCTTATTAAGTGTTATTATGGATCTGGATAACGAAGCAATAGACAAGGGCAAGTTGAGCCTTGACTCACCTCCATGGAGACTGTTCCTCAAATCCACCCTTAGATCCTGTTGTATATAATTTAGAACTTCACTTTTGTCACCATCAAGTGTTCTCCTCTCTCCAAACAGTGTTGCCTGCAAAAAGACTTTGGTTTCCGTGATGTATCCCACTTTTCCTCGTAGCGTTGCCATATCCACTCTTATTTTATACCATTAAAAGAATTCCTGGCCTTTTTTATTTTCCTTTTGGAGCACTGGGTTTGATTTTGGGGTTGGGTTTTTGAGTTCTCAACTTCTCGGGGGAGAAGAAACCTGGCAGCTGGGAAAACCACCTTGTTGTTCTGTCAAACCATGTTTTATGGATACAATCAAAGCTGTGAGAATCGGGGATTGGGATAGGGAGGGATAAGGAGGGAAGGACACATGTTCCTATCAAAGCCCCATCACCGCCGGCTGGCGCTGGCGCTTCCTGTTCTAAAGCTCATCAATCAGTGACGTTGTGACATGATGAATGTGGCAATCCTAATAAAATCAAGCAAATATGGATGGGCTTCAGAAAATCTCTTTCTCCTCCTTAAAGCGAGGGAATTCTGGAGGGATAGGGAGGTTCTTCTGGGATTTTTCCACTGTGGCTTCATTCCAGAGGTTGCTGTTGCGGGAGATGTTCAATTGATTTCTTTTATGAGGCTCGTTTCCTTTCCTATGGAGATGCCAGAGTCTTGGACCGCTGAAGGTTGGATGCTGTTGAGGCCCAGGATGGTGGAGGGAGGAAGAGGAGGACAAGTCACCCTTCCTGCTCCCAGTGCTCAAAATAGGACAAATCCCCCCAAAACAGGGTGAGTTTTCCCAAAGAACCTGTGCGTGGAGCCGAGGGATGCATCGGATGGACCAGGAGGTGAGATTGCCCCTGCGCACGGGTGGGATGCTGGTGGAATCTGTCCAGTTGATCCCTCACTGTCACTCCCTGAGGCTGGATCCTGTGATCCTGGCAGCCAGACTGGATTTACAGGGGGAGATGAGGGCGAGGAGGGATTAATTCCTCCCCCCTCCCTCCAGTATCTAATCCCGCTCATCTTCGAGGTCTGACCCTGCTTGGATCAAGGACCGGGATAACCTCAGCTGAGCCGGATTCATCCTGAAGCTCCCTAAAATGTGGGAGCTCGATCCAGAGAGTCAAAAAACCTCGGTTTGGGGGTATTTCTTCATTTGTTTTTAAGGATTAACATGTTTAGCCAAAGGCTCCTGTCTGCATTGGGATGCTCCATTGGGAATGGGATGGGATGTGGCTGGGGATGCTTTAGGGGTCCCTGTGCCCCGCCGCCGCTGTGTGTGACACATGATAGACTTAATCCATCACTAATAATAAGCCAAATAGTGAATTAATCATCGCAGATTGGGGGGGAGGGGGAGGGGGGGCACTGCCTGAGGGTGGGGCTAGAAGAGGCCCCGCCCCTTTGTTATGCCCCGCCCCCTCAGAGGTTTCCCCCCCCCCTCATCCCGGTTCCTCCCCCCCCCGCCCCAGGCGCGGCCCCGGCACCTGCTGCTGCTGCGGCGGCTCCGGCCATGGGCGCGCTCCCGCGGTCCGCGCTGGCGCTGGCGGCGCTGCTCGGTGAGACCCGGGGGGGGGGGCACCGGGCGGGACACGGGGGGGGGGACCGGAGCGCACCGGGCGGGACACGGGAGAGATGCAGCGGCACCGGGCGGGATGCGCGGATACAGGGGAGCCCCCGGACAGGTCCCGGGGGTACCGGCAGGACGCGGGGATACCGGGGGGGGGGGGGTGTCTCAGCACCCACGGGCCCCTCTCCGTGTCCCCACCCCAGCAGGCAGGTGGGTACTTGGGGTCCCATCCAGCCCGTCCCTGCCTAGGGGTGCCCTGAGAGGGGAAATCTGGGTCCCCTGGGAAAAGGCGCTTTGTTCCTTGAAGCTGCCGAGCAGTGCCTTCCAGCACCCCCAAACCAAAACCCACCGTAGGGGCACCCTGATGTGCTGGAGGCGATAATTCACCCTCTGCACAGCATCGGGCAGGGGAAAAAGATCCGTGGTTTTCCTTTCTCCTATGATAAAATCCCACTGCTTCCCTTGTTTATTGGCACTCAAATCTGCCCCACTTGGTTTTGGGGTGACTTGGTTTTGGACCGCTTTCCATCCACCGGGTTTTCCCATCTTCCCCCCCCCTTAATTCCCAGCCTTTTCAGAGGTTTTTTGGAACTCCAAAGGGAAACATCCCTTGGCATTCCCAGTGAAGGAGAGGCCTTTGGGGAAAGGAAACGGCCCCAAAAACAATGGCAGTGGCGTTTCCTCCTGGCGGGACACAGGGTGGGGGTCCTTGCTCCTGGAGCCATTTTCCCTCCTTGAAGGTTGTTTTCCACCATAGAAGTTAATGGAAGGAAGAGGCACAGGGGTCGCTTGGTCCTTAAATCCCACCAGGATGCTCCTTTGCTGCATCCTGATGGTGTTGATTTGCACCGGGTTGTGGTGGATCTCTGTTCCCATCCCCAGACCTGTCTCCATCCCATCTCTGTCCCCAGTCCCATACCCACCCATCCCTGTCTCTCCTCAATCTTATCCACAATCTGTTCCCCAGTCCCAACCCCATCCCGTCTCTGTCCCCGTCCCCAGTCCCCTACGCATCCCATCCTTGTCCCCGTCCCCATCCCCAGTCTCATCGCAATCCCATCTCTCCCCATCACCAATCTGTTCCACATCCCTGTCCCTATCCTCAGTCCTGTCCTGAATCCCGTCCCTATCTCTGTCCCCGATCCATTCCCCAATCCCATCCCATCTCTTCCCATCCCACCCCCGGCAGAGGTTAAAGCCCATGTCTATCTATGGCAAAGTCACGTATTAGTGTTGGTATTATTTTAGTTAATTATTTATTTTCCCCAAATTTGGCCTCTCCGGAGGATACGGCCATTCCTGCCCCCAACTCCGGCCCCCCCAACATTCCGCCCCCGGGGTCGTGAGAAAAGCCACCATGGATTTTCCCAACGGACGTTGCTCTGCAGCCCGGCATCTCCTATCTCCCAGTTATAAATAGTCGGAGTTAAGGGAAGATGAATAAATCCCCCCCCAAAAGAATGGAACAGGAGGAGCTGGGTGCCGAGCTGCTCCCTGACCTTTTTTTCTGGGAGTCATTTTCCCGGCCCGATTCCCGCTGTGGATTTTAAATCCCAAAGCTTGGGCTCTTGGGATTTAATTTGGGTCCCGGTTTCACATGACTCCAGCGCCTTAATCCTATCGAACGGGGTCATCAAACCCCAAGCGCCTCCAGGCTTTAATTCCTAATAGCTTATAGGGTGGGGTGGGGGGGAATTTTTTGGGGAATGCTGGAGTTTGGGGTAGGAAGGAGCTTTTGGGGGGTGATTCCATGATTTTAGATGAGGATTGGGGTGTTTAATAGAGGTATATTGAGGA